CACAACCCCCTCCCACACCCCCCCAGTCAGTTCCTTTTTTTTTTTTCCTCAGAGTTTTGCTGCTATTGGGGAGGGGGGGGGCATGAGGGTTTCTCAAAAATCAAAAAGGGGGGCGGGATGCCGAAAAGTGTGGGAACCGCTGTCCTAACTGATCCCCAGGCTCCACTGGTCTCCTTGCACTGGGATCCGCTGGGGGTGGGGGGGACTGGGCTACTCTTGTGTTAATTGCACTTTGCAGTGGCCTAGCCAATGGCCGGAGCGGGGTTTGTTAGTGGAAATATATTAGTGCTTGTCCAGCCACGTGTGGAGCCTGGTGCAACAGTGCCTGGGTGAGGCCGGTGCTTGGCTCCCATCCCAGATGGTCTGCCTGGGCTTGCGCAGAGGGACCTGATCCGTTGGGGGAGCCCAAGTTGGCTGGCTGTGGTGCTAGCCCGCTCACCCCCATAACCGTTGGCTACAGAAACCAAGGTAAGATGAGCTCAAAGCAACATCTGGCTGGTGCAGGGCATTGGAGTACCCCTGTTATAAAGTAGATTGGTTGGGGGTCTTCTGTAATGCCACTGTTAAATTACAATTGGATGCTGGTTTAAAAGAGTTCTCAGAGTTCTGCTCTTTCAATCAGGAAAGAGGAAACCATATCACATGACTTCAGTGGCCAATCCGCAAAGTGAATTTTAGCTAGCAAATCATTAGAATCCCTTTTCCGGAAAGGGGTGCCAATGTAGACACAGCCCAAGTGGTGGTGTATCTTTGCAAAGCCACAGCTCTGGACCCCAGTCCCAGCTGGAGGCCAGAGCCAGAAGTGCAGAGGCTGGGAACCTGAGCTGTCTTGTCAATTTCATGACTCAGCTGTGAAATTGACAAGGCTGCCTGGCGCAAGGCGTTTGGGGGGCATGAGAAGCCAGGGCAGGCAGATGGGGCGGCTTTCCCTGCATCCAGCAGGGAATGGGAAGATAAAGGTGGAGGGAGGACAGCCTGCCTGGGGGCCTGTGGGGACATCTGGGCTTCTACAAGGAGCTGCCAGCAGAGCTGAGGGTCTGGGCTCTCGGTTCCCCAGACTGCCTCTCTGAGGTTGGTGGAAGCGGGTGACGATGTGCGCCACTGACCCAAGGAGGGTAGTGTGGACATGTGTGACCACAGTAATTCCTGCCGTGGCTGTAAGTCAATCAACTGTAGCTCTGCTAAAGTTTCTAGTGTCGATGTACCCCCCTCGCCCCTCAACCCCCATTGAGCTGAGCACTATCCAAATGCACAGTGAGGGATAGCCCTGTTCCCTAAGGCCTTACCTCTCAACTGCAGCCCAGAGAGATGAAGGCCCAGTTTCACAGACTTAAGCACGGCACCATTTATGAAGAGCTGGAGGGTAGCAGCCCCCCCTCCTGAGTTGAATCCCTTGGATTTCATACTTGAGGTCTGCTTAAAGCTGCATGCCCTGGCTCTAGAGGCAGCTCTTAACTGCAATAGAGTTTGACCTGCCTGCAGGTTTGCCTTTGGGACAGGGAGTTTGTTATAAGAAGAGGGAGTGATTAACAATAACAAAAGGCTGGGCATTCAGGTAATTGAAGGATCCTTAGATCATCACAAAAATATTGCTGGGTACTCAAAAGATAGAAGAGAATAAAAGAATAGGAATGAATATTATGGTGCTGAGATTTGCATTTGAATTACTGCTGCTAAACTTAAAAAAACTGAAAAAACAAGGAGTGGTCCTGTAGCACCTTAGAGACTAACCAAAAAAAAAACCTTCTCTTAAACTTATAAATGTTCTTGAAAATGGTAAAACTTAGAATCATAGAACACTAGGACAGGAAGGGACCTCGAGAGGTCATCGAGTCCAGTCCCCTGCCCTCATGGCAGGACCAAATACTGTCTAGACCATCACTTATAGACATTTATCTAACCTACTCTGAAATATCTCCAGAGATGGAGATTCCACAACCTCCCTGGGCAACTTATTCCAGTGTTTGACCACCCTGACAGTTAGGAACTTTTTCCTAATATCCAACCTAAACCTCCCTTGCTGCAGTTTAAGCCCATTGCTTCTTGTTCTATCCTCAAAGGCCAGGCAGAACAAGTTTTCTCCCTCCTCCTTATGACAGCCTTTTAGATATCTGAAAACTGCTATCATGTCCCCCCTCAATCTTCTCTTTTCTAAACTAAACAAACCCCAAACTGAAAAAACAAGGAATGATCTAGCAACGTCTTTAAGACTCACAAAACATGTAGATGGTATCTTGAGCTTTTGTGGGTACAGCCCACTTCTTCAGAACAGTCTCCAAGCCAAAGCTGGCTGCAGAGTGTTACAAAGGGCACTCGCAAAACTGGGTGATTGAGCAACACACGGGTAGATGGAATTTGGTGTTGCTAAATGCAAAGTAATGCACATGGCAAAATAAAATCTCAACTATCCATACAAAAATGGGGGCTCTAAAATAGCTGTTACCACACAAGAAAGATATTGGAAGCACTGTGGATAGTGAAAACATCTGCTCTATGTGCAGTGGCAGTCTAAAAACTAAAAAGCTAACAGAATACTGGGAGTCATTAGGAAAGGAATAGCTAAGACCATATTGCCTCTCTATAAAGTCATTGTATGCCCACATCTTGAATACAGTAAAACTCCATTAGTCCGGCATCCAGTGCTCCGGGACTCCTGATGGTCCGGCACCATCAGGAACCCGGAAGTGCTGGGACAGCTGGACAGGCTTCCCCCATTCAGCTGCTGCTGAAACTGACCAGCAGGCTGAATCCAGATGCCTGGGGCAGAGCAGCTGGGGTGCTGCCAGGTTGGTCCCGTAGCGCCGCCCCTCGACGCTGCAGGACCAACCCCGCAGC